CCGATTGAAAGAAAGTTCAAAAAAATGGCATTTTTTTTTTTTTTTTTTTTTTTTTTTGGTAACAATATAAAAGTCTTTACTGTCACTTTTGATTAATTTAATGCATCCTTGCTAAATACAGGTATTAATTTCTTTTAGAAAATTGTACTAATCTCAAACTTTTGAATGATACAGTCTTATTGTTGTTGTTCATTAACTAATATTGATTTTTCAAGAAAGAGGTGGTTTATCATTTCAGTTATTTGACTTTAAGATCATATGTACTTCAAAACATTCTTTATGTGTATATAGTTCTCAAAGTTCTCTTTTTGTATTTTTACTATGGTTTGTACATGACACATTTACTTCTAATGTTGTTTATCCCCTGTGGAAATGGCAGGTTTGGAGACACCGCCATTACAGTTTTACTAAAACCCATGTCTGCCTATCCACGTGTTTTTGAAAACATATCCAAAGCTGTTCAGCCTCCTACAAAATAGAGACTATTTTATACTCCAGAGATATATTTACAGAACAAAGCATACTATCAGTCACAAGTATCCAGTAGCTTCTTGCATCTGCACCCTAAGGCAAAAGGTGTGCAGTGTGTCTTTTCCAGATCACAGACCACTATGGTGCAGTTTCGGTGTGGAGCCACGTCAGCGCAGATCAGTGTCATTTTTATGGCTGCCGTAGTAAAAATCATGCCACCATCATATATGTCACACTGTATCTCTAAAAAATGCCTGTGTGCTGCATGTTCTGAACTTATAACCTAGCATGGTGTTAATAATTAACCAGGAAATACTGAGACGTGTTTGTTGTGTGTGTGAGGAGAAAGAAAGGTGTGTTTAGTCAGCCGTTCTTCATCGTGCTCTGTGACAGTGAACAGTTACATGTATCGTGTTGCCTCCACAAAAGAACCCGAAACACATCTGACGCAGTGCATCTTGCCCTGGGCCTTTTTATTCAAACTCTTCTCCTGGAAGTGTTGCCAATTCTTTTATGAAGTACATCTCCAGTGTGCAAGGATCAAAACTGGTGTTTGGCCTCCAGGCGCGGGATATTCTTCGGTTTCATGTTGTGGAGTCTGGCTTTGCATTGCTTCAGGTCTTATACCTGTGTGTGTGTGTGTGTGTGTGTGTGTGTGTGTGTGTGGGGGGGGTGTACTTAGATACACTTTAGGGGGGTATACTTAGATACACTTTAGGGACAAAACTGTCCCTAGAAGTACAGTAAATCTGACAAAATCTTTCCTCGGAAGGCTCTCTTAGAAATGTAAAATGGAATTTTGTCATGACAAAATGGTCATGTACATGTTAATTTGTTTGGTCTTGGCAGAATAGATCTGCTGCTCTGCTGCTGCGGCGGAGCAAGTAGTGAGACTTGCTACTGCCAAAATATATGCAGAAATGCCGCTGTGAGCATGAAAGAAATACTGCTGCTGCACATAGTGTATAACATAAATGATCTAACCCCCGTATATAACATGCATGAAATCACCCTATAGCAGATCTGTACAGATGGAGCTGGGGAAGGTGGAGGGTTTCTGAAACGCGCTGCAACTTCTACAGCGAGCACTAGCTGAGTATTTGAATGTTGAGCTGCAAGCTCATTGGCTGTTGATGCAAAAAGAAACCAATCACCTGCACCATTTGAATAATGATGTCATTATGTCAGATTGAGTTCGGACTGTGCCATCCAGCGTTTCATGACAGAACTCTGGATTTAAACCCATTTACATCAAGAACGATTACTATAACGATAAATATATTATCTTCCATATCAATGGACTATAACGTTCTGTTTATTATGAACATGATTCAGTTATGTCGTCAGATGCTTTAAATGTGTGAGCTCTTTTAAGTTGGGTGGATTCTAAAGTTGGACATTCTGTCAGTGTTTTATCGTTCATCACCTGGGGAAAAAATCCAACAGTATTGTTCTTCTGTCATTATTGTCATAGCTGTGATGTGGACTTTGCTATTCTCATAGAATTACAATTAGAAATTGTTAAAAATGTATAACCGTCAACGTAATTTATAAAAGTTAGCGTCCTTATTGTGAACAACCTTATAGTCTGCAGTAATTGTACTTTATATAAAAAACAAAGCAAAATGTGATAAAACAATGAATGCGAAATTAACACAAATTAAATATTCATGCTACCTGATCCATCCATAATTTCAGCAATTTATTCAGTTCAAGTATGGCCTAAATGCGAAGCAATTTTGTTTTCAAGGTGTTTTTTTCCCCCACTTTATATTGGCTTCTAATGCCATTGTCTATTTATTTTTTCTGCAATATATTTATTTGCAAATTTTTAAATATGCAACTGAACTTGGTAACACACACTCACACACGCACAATATAAACTTTTACCTAGCTATCTAAAATATATTGGGCTGTCAAACAATTAAAACCCTAAAATTGTAAAAACAGTAATTACAATTTTTAATTGTTGACAGCCCAACTTATTTTAGATAGCTAAGGGTAAACATTTATATGTGTGTGGTTGTTACTTTATGTTCTCCTTGGTTATTTTTCTTGTACTCCCTCTCTCTTGTTCCTATGTCCCAGTATAGCGCCTCTGCATTATTAATTAGTGCTGGTTGTGTAACTGCTGTGTGGTTGGAACATTTTCAGCCTAAGTTTCGTGTTTTCTCTGAGGGATGAACGGCAGAAACATGAAAGATCAGGAGGCGAGTCTGCGACTCACACCATCAGACTTGCAGCTGAGAAATCCTTTCCAGAGGGAAAAGTCCTCAGCGGCTGAACCACTAGCAGATCCTGCATGTGGGAGGCACAGATATGGCCAGACAGCCTTCATATAGTTTGTAATGGATTCATGATAGACATATTTCCCTATGGTAGGGCGGACAATGAAAACAGGAGCCAATCTGGAGGAGCTGTTGATGGCAATTTGGATCAAACCTGTTCTCACCTGTCTCTGCAGTCGCTGTTGTCTGTCCTAAATTCACTTTGTTCTTCTCAGCAGCCCTGGGCTGGTTACCTTGTCCTAGTGTGCGGGGCTGAGGTGTCTCTCTTATCAGACATGTGGACTCTGTCTGTTTGCTGTGTATGAAGTACACATCAGAGCATTCAGAACAGACAGACACCAAGCAGAGAGTGTGTGCGTGTGTGTTTGTGAAGTACGGTGGGAGACAGAACACACACGCAAGAAGCCGTCCAGCCCTGTATGACGCCTAGTCATTAAAGGTTGCTGCAATCATTCATTTTGCAGCTCTCCCCCATATTTTTGCTGTTGTTTGAGCTCATGCTGTTAACTGCTTTGTCAACATGTTGGAGAGCATCAGATTACAGCTGTGGCTGTAACCTTCCTGCTATGTTGCATGTGTGTATTTCCAGCTGTTTGCCTTCACCTAGCTGTGTTGCAGGTTGGACAGCTGGGATAGGAGCTTTTATATAAAAATAATAATAATGTGAATCAAAAAAAAAAAAGTTAATAATTCTGTTATTATATATAGTATTTTTTTATT